AAAAAAAAAAAAAAAAAAAACACTTGTAGACGTCAGTGGTGGAGTTGGTCTTATTAGTCAAGCGTTACTGGCGAACGCAGATGCTCTCTGTGCAGCGGTATCACCGTTGATGGATCCGGACGAGTCATCGATGTAAGTTTAATATACCTAGGTTATTCTATAGTTAGTAACAAAATTATTAAATTTAATTATTAATTATTAATTTAATTATTAAATTATTAATTTTTTTTTAGTTATAGATTTTGATAAATCTTATTGTTAATTTGCATCTCTCACTAGGGAAGGTTACATCGAGCGAAGTGTCATGAATAATTATTTCGGAATCGGCATCGACGCGAAAATCAGTCTCGATTTCCACCACAAACGAGAAGAGCATCCTGAGAAATGTCGATCACGCGCAAAAAATTACATATGGTACGGCGTTCTGGGATCTAAAGAGTGGCTACAGAAGACATACAAAAATCTCGAGCAGAGAGTTCAATTGGAATGCGACGGTCAAAGAATACCATTGCCGTCCCTGCAAGGAATAGTCGTATTAAATATACCAAGGTATTCCAGTGAAAAAATAATAAATATACCTGCGATTCCTAGTGCAAACATTTTATTTTATTAACAGCTTTATGGGTGGTACGAACTTCTGGGGTGGTACGAAAGAGGGAGATCTGTTTTTGGCACCGTCGTTCGATGATCGAATATTGGAAGTGGTGGCGGTTTTTGGGTCCATTCAAATGGCCGCGTCGCGACTCATTAACTTGCAGCATCACAGGATAGCTCAATGCCAGACGATTCAGATTAATATTCTAGGAGAAGAGGGTGTTCCTATACAGGTAGACGGTGAGGCTTGGATTCAACCACCTGGAATTATAAAGATTGTACATAAGAACCGCGTGCAAATGCTCTATAGAAATAAGGTGAGGTATTTGTCTTGTGACCTTTCGATGACGATATTGATTTGCGGATAATTAAAGAATGTTTTATATTTCAGGCGCTCGAAACATCACTAAGAACGTGGGAGGAAAAGCAGCGCAACATGGTGAGCGCCGTAGGTCAGTCGACCTCTGTGAGCGATACGTCGCAGCCTAAAATAGAGTTGCAAATAAGCAGTAAACCTTCGCAACTGAATGAAGAGGAACTTCACATTCTGTTTAGCTTTATCGAGGTTGTGAGCACCTTAGTCAAGTGGGTGAAACTACTGATTATATCGCATCCAAGCTTGGAACCTAATTTGTATCAGATTGCTTCTCGAACGGCCCAAACGCTTGAGCAAATGCAACCGGACGGTAAAATCTTGCAAGGGGTAGGTTTGAGTCACCAGAAACTTACCAGAATTCTAAATATTACGATCGACGTACTATCTGTTTTATTTTATCACGTTAGGTGAGTTTGAGACCCATGGTGACCGAGTTGGTATTAAGCGCGCGACAATTGTACGAGGAGTCTTGCGAATTGTTACACGATAAGGCTCATAATTTAGTAAGTGTACTGAACGTCTTCCTGATACAGATTTTTTAAACTTTTATATAAAAAATCTGTCTCGTTTTTTTATTTGTTAAACTGACGTTTACTTGTGCGTATAAGCAGAGACTACAAGATGACTTGGAAAACAAATTATCCCTGGCTCTAACTAATATGGAGCAGGAATTACGAAAGTGCACTTTTGACGAGAGAAATACAGGACTGGTTTACTTGCACGTTCCCGTAGACAATCAGGTATAGTTCCTTCTTATGATCTATGTAATGCTGTTCAAAGTCAAATCTTTAAATTACAAGTTAATTAACTATTTCCATGTTCCTCTATGTCATGTATTCTGCATTGTGATAAAATTTATACATCTTGTGATATTTATTATACGTTTAATTGACGGGGAAGGAGGAGAATAGCAAGTATTACTATAAAACAAGTACATATAAGAACGTTTCATAAATATATAAAATGTTCAAATGCAAGTTAGTTTCGTATGAACTGTAGATAAATATGACAAATTTTATCTATTTACATCCTCAGTATCGTATAACCTTGACTATTTTTTACAAGGTTATTAAGTATTCGAGCGAAACGCATTAGGATACCGATGTTACAAATGTATGTGATAAATGAACGATACAATTATTTGTTGTTTTATCATATTATGTTTTACTTGTATTCGATATTCCATCTTGTATCACTAATATATGTATATATATTCCGAAAAAAAGTAAATGTAATAGTAAACTGTGATGAAAAACTACTTGGATAAACTCACAAAATATGCAATATTATGAAAGCACCTCTCTTTCATACATCAAACACAAAAATGGACAACTTCCTTCGGGAGAACTTCATAATTCATTATGCGTAAATGTTGTTTTCAAATGTTAATTAATAAATTATCCTGTGCTTTATTTCGGATTGATTGAGTGCTCAATCTCAGTGCTGGTAATATGCTTTAAGTCTTAATGCTTATGACATTAGCGATTAGAAACTAGTTAGAGCGTTAAAGACTTAGTTTTTGCGATGTAGCGAGATATGACGCAAATTATTTTTGTACACGTCTGTATGTATCGTACGTGCATGTTACATCTGCTGACAAATGAATTGCTACTTAGATGGTTTCGTTTATTTTTCACACGCTTAGTTCTACTTATTAGCTCTACTTATAGTTCACATAAAATAGAAACGCGACCAAATGACATTACTTGGCGATGTTGGATTTATTCTTCAGTTACATTAGCAGAAGTAACACGTCCGAGTATGCACTTGAACAACACACAACTTAACTTTTGCTTTCGTTAGCGCGCCTCTGCTGTGTCTCTCATGATTTCGTAAGAACCGAGAGATCGTTGTACGATCTGATTTAATTAGCACTTAACAACGAGAGGGGAACTTTCGTGATTTTTATACGAGCCTCATGAAAGATGTATACATTGTAACAGATGTATATATGAATCTCGCTGAAGTATAGCAATAATAAACAATGGAATATCTGACATTGTTTTATTGATGTACACCGAATGCGTATTTACGATACTCGCACGATATTTTACGGAACGGTGGATCGTCATTCGACTCGATCGTGAACGATCGACGTTAGACACGAGTGAGAAAGAGCTACTTTGCCTGACGAGTTGTTATCACATCCCGAGTGCAATTTCTTCACCTGCATATGATTAGCATGTCTCTAACGTATGTCGTTAAAATAGCGTATCGCTTACACGCGTATACTAATCTAACTAACCGTTCACTAACCGACCTCTGGGTCTGCAGGGTGATAAAAAAAATCGTCATCGAGGATTGTTCTGGTTAAAGTTCCGTCGTTTCACTGGCCAGTCGGACACCCATTCGGCGCGGGATCAGGTCACCACGTAAAGGCGTGCAGGAGGTGTGCATCACCTGGTTAGAGAATATGCAGTTGGACGAGTACATTGACAAATTCGTATCGCATGATATACGAGATAGGGAGCTGCTAGCTCAGCATGATCCGAAGGACCTCTGGCATCACCAAGATGGGGCATGCATCTTGCAAGCTATCAATAACTAAGCGTGACTTCAACAACTAAACATTACAACACACGTTGCGCTACTTATGTGTTTAACGTTGGCGTTAAACTAACGTGTATCACCTGAGGTAACGCAAACCTCCTCCTAACCATCATTCCAAATAAGAGAAACACGCAACCATAAATTATTATTTGACAAGGAGAATTTTCTTAAATCTAATAGATCTATACAGTGTTAATTATTACAACTTCTGAAACAAACTACATCATGTGGATACTGTGTAACAGAGGACAATGTTCGCCACGATAAATATTGCTCGCGGCGAGTTCACCCGGTGTTGTGAGGGAGGAACTTCGTCTGTGCCAAATACTTATTCTATACTGAAAACTATCTAAGAAAAGCAAAAAATAAATTTGTCAATTCGCCGACAAATTTTTATCGCGATTCTATATATATTTATATACACACATATTGACGTATACATATGCGCGTACACAACATATGTATAGTACAAAATATGAGATGCGTCTCCCAAGGAAACGAATTTCACTTCACTATCACACTAAAGCATCTTAAAATCCGTGACGAAAAAGGTCTTATAAACCACACATAGAGCAGATATTCGTAAAACATATATAAACTAGCAAAGATATTTTATATATCACAGACTATCACTAGAATAATTCTCTACAACGTCACTCAGATGTATTTAATCACATAACGCATTTATTCCTACTCGAAATCGTAAGATTTTACATGCGACTTTGGTGTCTCAAAGCTGCGAATATTATATCTTTAGAAGCGTCTTTTACATCAATTGTCAAAGATCAATTACGTATGTTTCTACTTTGTAATTCGCTTCATCGATTCGTCATCATTTAATCCTGTTTGAATTTAATCTTTGGCATCCATTTCGTCGATTTGCCGTTATGCAACACGCATTTTAACGACGGACGTGTTTTTTGCAACTAACATACGCGAATCAACGACTCTTTTGGTTTGTTTGATATTAATGATTATTTCGAAGAGCAACGCCCGGGGGGCATGATATACAGAGTGTCTCACACTCTCCTCTGGGCATTTTGTGGGAACGTAGAATAGGTTGCGGTGAACATAAAAGTCCTATACTATAGTTTTGCAATATTCGCAATAATTATCGAGATATTAATTGTAGAAAATTTGTGAATGATCATGCAGTATATGGTAAATGAGTTATAGTAGCGACTGCCGTCGTGTACTTATACTTTAGGTCAAATTTAACAAAAAAGTTCTCTACCATTTTGCAAATAATCACATAGATTTTTAATTATTAATTAAGGAAGACGAGTGCATTATCACGCAAAATCGTGCAATAATCTTCTTTAATTTATAATTAAAAATCTATATGATTATTTGGAAAATGGTAGAGGACTTTTTTGTTCAATTTGACCTAAAGTATAAGTACACGACGGCAATCGTCGCTACTATAACTCATTTACCATATTCTACATAATCATTCACAAATTTTTTACAATTAATATCTCGATAATTATTGCGAATATCGCAAAACGGTATAGGACTTTTATGTTCACCTCAACCTGTTCTACGTCCCCACAAAATGCCCGGAGGAGAGTGTGAGACACCCTGTATATGCAAATAATTCTACACACATATGTAGAATCTAGAAATGTAAAATGTACGTAGCTGTAATAAGTTCACACATACCAAAGTTGTCGTGATATATACACGATAAATATAAGAGTAAGAAGAGTATTTTCTTCCATTTCACAGGTCCAAGCTTCGACCTCGAGTTTGTGAGTGTCTTGCTCTCTTTCCTTCGTAAAGCTAGTCTTCATTTTTTCTGTTATCAATAATAATGGAAAAAATACAGATCTATCCATTCTCATAATCTTTAGCGAATGTTCTCCCATAATCGTGCTATTATTATTAATTGCATATTTTTCCATCCACATAATCAAATATTGCTCACGGTGATAACATAAAAGAGATGCGATTTTCCTAATATTTTCCTAGTTTTCCGATATAACTTCCTAATATAGCTGTATACTCGTGTTCATTCACTCGTTTTTGTTTTGCTATCATGTGATAGTCGAAGAATTTCCTCGATTTCCATGCGACGAGAAATATTGCGTGGTTTTAGCGTAACACTTCACGGTATAAATCTCACTGTTACAAATAGATAGAAACATAGTAACATATTCAGTCCACGATGAAACGAATAATTAACCCAAATAGCGTATAATTAGCTGTTAAAATAAAGTTAATCAAATCGAGTTGTTAAGAACCTTGTGTAAAGAGATTCATTTACATTCCAATATATATCTGGATGGACAAAAAATGTCTGTCTCTTACATCATTAATCTTATATGCACACAAAAGATATAAACAAACCGGTCTATACGTTACGCACGTACGAATGGCATTAATCGCATTACTCTTCTGATCTCTAATTTAAGAGTACGAAACTGACTCAAATGCAATAACCGCATTTTCTTTCTACGTAACTGTATGAAAATCGTGACTGTTACAATTGCGCAACGGAATGTCACGTCTTAGTAGATTAAATAGTAGATGTTGCAATAATGTAATGCAGTATTATATGTAGAGTAACATTCATGATTACGTTTTAATTCATACAATGTAAAAATTAATTGAGAATTAGAAATTAAGGAACGTAACACGCTTGAATAGTATTACAACGATTAACTTTACGCGATTTAGTTAATTCAGTATATACACATATATGTTTAATAATTTATTGATATACATGAGCAATTTATTAAGAATCTAAATATAAAAATTCTTTCTATGTATAAAAATGAAGCAGAAGATTAGAGAATAATAAATTTTAGATAGCGTTCGTGTTATCTCGTCAAAATTAATATTTTCCGAAATAATCTCTGTAATTTTTACGTTTATTAAATATCTGTTATTTTCATTGCGTACTCTGCCAACATTTTTTAAATATAGAGGCAATTCTGTCGATGTGTCATGTTTTGTGTATATTTCTCGGGATACTTACGCAGTAAGATTGCCAATATACAGAATCGACAATCTCGAATTACCGCGTTTAATCGGCAGGTTATATATATATATATATATATATATATATATTATCATAAGGTATTCCTTTTCAAAATATACATTGTACGTTGTTTTATATATATATATTTATCGAAGCAAAACATTTGACACGTACACATACCTCATAATCTCGGAAATGGAAGATTACAAAGGTATGTTACAAAGGGAAACAAGCATATATTTAATTCAATGGGTATTCAATTATTATTCCTAAAGATATATATCATACTGCATTCTTAACATGTATATAATCAATTTATAATGGTAAAATTATAAGAAGCATAAGCGAAAAAGATAGTATTTATATACTTCTTAGAAATTTACTACTTACATCTGAATGTTCGAATGTTTCTTTCACTCGTTGAAATGTGTCATGTGAAATGCAGTCCTGCTTTCCAATATGGTATGCATCCGTCAAAGCATTTCTCTCTTTTATCTGTGATAAATTTCCCTCTAATCACTTCAGAAACGTTGTATAACTGTACAAGTAACCGAATGTACTTGCAGATATGTGAAGATTTATTGTCAGTTTTCTTACTTCGATTAAATGCGCATTAGTTTATATAGGGAAGGGAACTATCACGGACTACTAAATCACAAATAATCTTTGAAACGTGTATATGTGTATTGGTAATATCACAAATATATTCTGCATATTAGAATTAGCTTCCAACATCTTGGGAATGTTTGTATATTACAAATAATAAACAAACTAAATCTTTTAGAAAGCAGTATATTCGCTAATCAAAACAGTTGAGGAAAGAGATTGAAAAATGTCACATGTATGTTGATACAGATAAACACGATAGATTGATACGTCTGCAGTCTTGACATTAGAAGTGTTTACAATGTTATATAGATCAATAAAGACATCCAAAATACATAGGAAAATTTTCGTTTACAGAAGTCATAAGCGTCATAAGTTTGTCACATAAGTATGTATCACTAGTATAACATTTCTAAAAAATTACTATGATAACTAATCTATAATAACAAATTTAATTAATCATCTATGATATTAATATATTATTTCTCCGAATTAGCAATAGTTATTTTATATATATTATATATAAGATCTTTTGTTGATCTTTTGTCGAGTATTTCTTCTCTTTTTAGAATAATAGGATCTGTATGTTTAAGCACACGATAATGTGAATTAACTTATTTCGATTGGCACTCTTTCAATTTTGTGATAGCGCGTATTTATATCCTAATATTGCACTGGAGGACAACTTAAAATACATATATTTTATTATGTAATATTTTATTAAGTAATTTATTAAGTAATATTTAATATTCCTACGTTAGTTTTATTATATTTGCTGTCGAATACTCAGAGATAAATTATAGAACATGAAACATCCCTTAGGAAAAATTACTTTAAGATGTTCAATTAACTTAAAGTTGCTTAAAATTACTTAAAGTTATTTATAGTTAACTGTAAGTAACTTTAAATTAAGTTAATTTGAACAACTTAATTTTTCCTAAGGAATTACACTGAATATCCTTTTATGAAATGTAAATTAAAAATATTTACTTTTCAAAATAACAGACCCTCTTAGACAAGAACACAGCAAGACTTGTATTTGTAATTGTAATATGTTTTCATAATTTCTAACAAAGCTATACGTTCAAAACGATGAGGTGTAATACTTTGTCCAAACAATTCTAAATCATTACGATACTAGGTATAATAACTGATAATTTTTCGAGCACAATATCTTTACATTTGTCCAAAAAAATCATACAATGGCAGGACTTTGATACCATCGAATTTCGTTTTGATGCTAGCTAGTATCAAACATATGCTATATACTAACATTTGATATAGACTATAAATTCTGTTACATTATTATTATTATTATTATAAGAACATTGTAATATATTGCAAAAACTATTTAAGAATAAATGTGTTCAATTTGTTACATACGCGCACTTTGTACATCTGTTTTGTTAAAATAATTATGCATAATTTCTATATGTTTATTAATCTTTTTGTACTGTGTAAATGTTAAAAATTATATCTCGTATTGTATAAAATGAAATTTATATATTGTAAACTACAATTCATATTGTATCAAGAAATCAATGTTCTAGAATAAACTTAAATTCCGATATTTTCTTTTTTTAATAAATTTCTAATTAATTTGAATTTCAAAAACTTGGCTTTTATTATTAAAGTATATAATTTATTATTAATCTTGTTACGAAATTATTAATATAGTAGCTCAGTGATGTTTAAAATATATTCTTCAAACGTATCGTTATAACAGTTTTGTATTTTTTTATGCAGAATTTTACATAAATTCCTACTATATATCTTCCATTAATCTACTTTAAAATATAAGAAAAACATATTTGATTCAATATCAACTAAACTTTAATATATAATAGCAATTATGTATTAAAAATAATTGTATTTGACTAGTATTTGTTTCGTCGATCATCTGATTGTTTTACAATATGTAGCTTTTTGGACCGAATTATACTATCTAGTTCGGCAAACTACTCGGCCTGATTGATAGATTTCCAACAATTTTAACTGCAACCGAGCCCGCAACCTGTAGTATAATATACCATGGCTTTAACCATGTAGAAAATAATTTTGTAATTTTTAATGGGGCGGAATGATTATTCGAGGAAGATACTTTAATCATATTACTGAGCTCACAGAATCGTCGTATCCTTTCCGTAAAATCGTAGATATACATGTTGAATTTACTTCTTTGAGCGATGTATATTCGATAATAGTCTATTTGCGGTTAAAGGATGTAACATAGTCTCAAGGAACGTAACGTCGTAATCGCAGTAATGTTCTGTCTTTCCCCAAGATTTCCATCATCTCAGCAACAGGTGGACCATCCTATTTATATATATTAAAATATTTTATATATTAAAACATTTTATATATTAATACTATTTTTTATAATAAAAATAATATTAATTCGTGACATGCATACCTTTACGCCGCCTAAAATGCTTCTCAGAATTTTCATCAAAGCGGCAAAGGGAATTCCCTTCTTATTAGCAAATTCTTTTAAATATGGGCCAATCCAATCGGTTTTATAATTGTTTACATCCATTTCAGCCAACTCCGCGTTCAACAACTTAATTGCATCTGAAACAATGTGATATTTATAACAATTTTGATCATTAAGATCGAATAGTTCTTATGCAACAAACAATTGATACCTGAGCATTCATTTTGATTAATACTTGGCGCAGAAACTGGAACAATCCACAAAAATGCTAGGTCTGTCTTGACAAGATCGTTGAAGGTAGATATCCTGTTCTGTGCCCATTTCAATGTAGTAATTATATGATAGTCATCTATTTGCAAATTTCCATCATTTCCCCTAAAGTAGAAATACAATCAGCATCCTGAGAGAAAGTAAAAGATAAGCTTAGGCACACTATAAAATTGGACATACTGTTGAGGAAACGCTTTTAACACCAATCTCCTAACTCTCTCGATCAAGATGCTGTGATTCTCCTCGTCTCTTAATAGATTTACAATTTCCAATTTATTTAACTCTAGCAGTTTCTCAGGCATAAGCTTACCAGAGTTTGCCTTTATTTTACTAACATCGAACTATGATAGAAAACAATACATTTAGCCGACAGTTTTACGAGAATATTACAATCCTCTTACGAAAAAATAGCATTTACTTGTTTAATCAGCTCCTGATAACTGTGAAGGTCTTCATTATTATTTTTTTTGTAAAAACCACCACCACCAGCACTTATTACATAGTTCAATAATGCTAATGGAAAAATACCCTGTTTCCTAAATGATTCAATATCTATGTCGCCTTGTCTCTTTGATAGCTTGGATCCATCTGAATTTAATATTAAAGGTAAATGCCCATAAGCAGGAGGATTCCAACCAAATGCTCTGTAATCAATAGTATCTATCGATTGTCATATTTAAAATGTATTAAGTTTTTAAAGAAGCTACTTACTTATAAAGCATAATGTGCTTGGGTGTAGACACTTGCCATTCAACACCTCGTAAGACATGAGAAATCTCCATGAGATGATCATCCACTACATTCGCAAAATGATAAGTAGGATAGCCATCCGATTTAACGATAACCGGATCCCCTTCAGTTTTGGCAATATCATGTAATACCTCTCCATATACCATATCGTGAAAAGATTCCGGTGTAGATGATAACTATAACATATCGGTAATAAGTAGCCCACATATTTAATCTATCAAGTTTAACATTTTAAGGACTGTACCTTAAATCTAATGCAGTATGTAGATTTTTTTCTGAGCATTTCTTTCACTTCATCTTTACTGTAATGTCGACACCTGTTATCATATTTGGGCACTTGTCTACGTTTTAATGCATCTTTTCTTAACAATTCTATTCTATGTTCTGTACAAAAGCAATAATAAGCAGATCCATTGTCTAAGAGCTTGAGTGCTTGTTCCCTGAGAATGAATAAAAATAATTAATAATGACATAAAGTAATCTGGCAGGCCAATTAATTTTCCTATTTATCCTCAAGACTTAATTACATACCGGTATAATTCAAGTCTTGCTGACTGTACATAAGGACCAACAGGACCACCTCTGATAGGATCTTCGTCAGATATAATTCCTGCCCATAACAGATCGTCCTGCAGCTTCTCAATTGCTCCTGGGACTATCCTTGTTTGATCAGTATCTTCAATTCTCAAGATAAAGGCACCCTGTTTGCTACGTGCAAATAAATAATTATACAACGCAGTACGCAATCCTCCCAAGTGTAAATGACCTGCAAAATAATATATGCATCAGTCTTATAATTGAAAAAAAAGAAAACTATATTTAGAACATGTGGCTATATATTGTATGGACCAATTCATTAATATCTTGGCATATTTTCATTAATATCTTCAGCAACAAGATCAAATTTATCCTACAAAACATAAAAAAGCAATAGTATTCGTTAATTATTACCGGTAGGACTGGGTGCGAATCTAACCCTAACGTGATGCTTCTTAAAGAAACGTCTCTGCAACACCTGGAAACTCGCTGCTCGGAGTATATTGCGTTGCATTTCTACCGTCTATAGAGATCTCTATTTTTTTTTTTGAGAATCTGCAACAATAACAGACAGTTCTATCTATCACGCAATGCCGATTATAATTTGTTTCGGTAGCGACGTTGATGTTTGTTAACCACTAAGCAATTGATCTTGACCTTATGATGACACGTTTTATAATACTACTTAAATATTTGTGCAACTCGATACTTTTGCCTCAATTACCTCAATTGTCTTGACAAAACTTCAATTATTATAACGTTCAGCGATTTAACCAACGATTCGCATGGTTATGATTCACGCAAATTTGAAACCACATGTTTCGCGGTAGTATATATGTTCGTGATTAGCACAATCCGTAAAGATCCGCGTTTACGATATTTTAAACATAGTGAAAAGCATCGCGTAAATTTTATTGAATATTAAATATAATATATATAATTTTTTTATTGTATTGAATATTATTATTTTATTTTATATTACCTTACGTAATATAAATATAAAAACACTATGTAACCATTTTATTTCGCAAGGTTTTAATTTTGACATAGTGAAGTGGTTTATATAAAAAAAAAAACATACTTAAAACACTTTGTACTGGATGTTTCAGATCCAACAGTAAACATTTTAACATAAATAAATACATCATTTCCTGGAGACTATATGAATTGAACTCCATAACAGATGCTTCATTCTATAGTTTGTGAAAAAAAAGCAACTTTTACACCATAATGCACAGAAATATAATAGTATAATGCAATAAAGAGAATGAATACAGCTTCTTAAAATATAAAGCTTTTCACAGTGCTTTCTCTCTTCAGTTTCTAAACACAAATTCGTTAAATTGCGTTTACGCAAATGTGAAAATATCAATAATATATATTTCTTCAGTTTGCAATTCTTCAATCAAACTGATATGAAGAATTTAAACGATTGAATAAAAGGATAAGGATATGTTGAAAGAAAACATTGGTTACTATTGAAATCGATTACTTTAATTCTATCCTTCTATCTTCCTGCGCGTTATAAATATTACATTTAAAATTAAATCTTCGATATCCAATAGATTCCTTAATACGTTAGATTTAAAACGTACAAGTTCTACATCGCACTACAGACTCTGTAAACGAACACTTTACACAGAATAGTGGTATCTGATTTTCCTTTCTTTCCTTCTCTGTCTGTCTTTCTCCCTCTTTCTTTCTCTCTCTCTCTCTCTCTCTCTCTGATTCACAGTCTTTCGTTAATAAGAATATTTACATTTTTGTTTATTCGTTACAACACACCGATATAAACACGCAGGCAAGTCTGCGAGATGTGTCCTGCGTATATTATACATTCATATTTTACATTTCTTTTCACTAATAATTTTCACGAGGTTCATGAAGAGCCATAACAAAAATAAAATTTTTAAGAAGAGATTACGCGCATTTACAAATATAGGGGAAATTATACAAAGTAAATCCTCGAATAATTGCAAATGTCGAACTTCGCCGCGAAACTTGCCAAAAGTCAAACATATAACGTTAAATCGAATGCCCTACCTATTTGGCGCCGAGATTTGACAAACTTAAACGATGTTATTAGACCTATCTTAACACCGCAACTGACGGAAATGTAATGTTTGGCATACAAAGTAATAAAGAAATTGAGCAAGTAGTTTTCTAAAATATAAAGCTCTTCGCAATACTTCCTTTCTTCAGCTTTTAAACGAGAATTCATTAAACTGCGTTTATGCAAATGTGAAAAGATCAACAAGAAATTATTATATCTTTTTACGTGATGTATCTACATAATTATTTGCGTAAGGATTTGCCTTTTTCGTCGTATTATCAATGCCGAAAGTAAACGACATGTATTATGCGTAAATGAAAGAAATAAATACACGAGTGTATATGTTAGAACATATATACTAGAAGGTACATAGCTGTTTCGCTGTTTTCGTGCGTCTTGTTGTATATATGCTCTAAGCTAAATATTTCCCGAGTCCACTTCAGACGGCTATAATTTATAATATTTCGATTAAGAAAAGAAAAAGAAGAAAATAATGAATGAATAGACGAGAAAGATAAAAGAATTAGAGAGTTACATTTACACAGATACACATGAAGTTCACTTTATATATGTATGTATACGTATAGCTGGTGAAAGTCTATTAACAAGTGATTATGACTTTTAAAACTTCGCGTCGCTTCGAATTGTTAATCATCTAAAGTGGACTTTAGAAATAAGGGAAGTTCATATGTTTCTACATTTCAATTAAAAATTTAGCATAAACTGAAAAGGGCAGATTAGAGATCACGAGTTGGAATGCTGAGACGGTGTAAGGCTACCGGTATGCTCGGGGCTATGTTTCTGCTTTTTCCTCTTCTTCTCCTTCTTCCGCTTCTTCCTGGCTTCTTTCTCTTCATCGTGTCTCTTCTGCTTCTTATGTTTCTTTTCGTGTGTATCAGAACCACCTACATCTGTCGTCGTGGCTTCCTGCCCGCTGAGTACCTCTCCAGGTTTGTGTTTGTGCTTCTTATGCTTATTTTTATGTTTTCTCTGGGGTGCTTGATTTACGTATCTATACTGTTCCGGCAACTAAACAATTATAAAATATAACTGTTAGCAATTTGCATTGCCTTCTTAACATTTTATATATTTTTAACTTTGAGAAAAAAAGATCAATGTCCATCCATCTTCAATTTTCAACTATAGAAGAATCTTAAGAAGTTTGTAAGTAGCTAATCTAAATTCTGTAATTCTCTGAGTTCAAATGTCCATTTCAATTACTAAAATATCAATTAGATAATTTAGTTGCTGTAATCATATTTTTAACAGTTTTGATATTCTAAAACTTCTACAACTACCAATTGGAAAAATAGACATTAGCTCTTTTTCTTCAATACAGATACAAATAAATCACAAAACAAAAAATCTTACTGGGCCAGGATGCAATCGAAAACCAGCTAATTGTACACTTGTTAATGGCAGCAGTTCTTTACCACCTATAGGTGGCTTTTCTATTACCGATCTTAGAGAGCTGAAAGAGATAAAATATGAAGTAATCAGAGTCAATATAATTCTAAAGTTTAATTCTCATTGCACGATTAAAAACTTACCTGTTGTCTTGATGCCCAGGTCTATCTATAATACCAGGCAAATTTGGCAAGAAGGAAGATAATTGTTCCTTGAGTTTTTTACCACTAAATTTGCTGTAGGAATGTTCCAGGCCATAATAGGCCATCAAATTTGTTGCCCCAGTAAGTTCACTTTCCCCTACAAGTAATAGATTTACTTACACAAGAAGAACCATAATCTTTGAAGCACTTTTACAACTATATGTTTTTTATAAAGAAATTTAAGTTTCATATTTTAAATAAAATTTAAATTATATATTTCATCCGTAAAAGTTTCAAATAACAGAAATATTGACTTAGTAGATATAGAACTTTCAAAGCATTCATAGTATTGATTCAAAATTTCTTTTACTGTTTCGTGCTTACCAGGGGGTTCCTTCATCAAGTAGAAAGGCCCACTGTGGACAATGGAGGGATTCTTCCCTAGAGAAATGGTCGTCTTCAGGGTCCCCGTGGAGTCTTGACGAGATACAACTGGAGAGCGCGCACCCCTCGGCGAAGACTTTGGCGAGTACTGCTCCACTTTGCTACGAAATTGTTCGCCCATCATCATCTTTCGGCTTTACTTCATCGCACCTTCACCACTGCAAATAATACGGGTGCTAACGTGGAGCACCGAAAAGAGGAGTAAAGATTACAGTTTGGAGATAGCCGGTCACCGATACACCGCAAACGCACATCCAAATCTAAGAAGCCCAGACTACTGGACAGCCACACGCACAATCTCACGGGCTTAGCCGTGAAGCATTATGTTCTGCCATCTATCAAACGTACTTCCCGTCGAACACAGAAGAACGATTCTTGATTATTCAAAGAAGCTACGTTGCACACAGCTGTTTTGCGTGTTGCGCTCGTCGTCGCCGATGGTGATTATATATACTCGAGCTACTTTAACGTCGTATACATGTGGCGTTGAAACTGAACAGTTCTGAGCGTTGTATGTGCATGTTTGTGCTGGATTGCTTGCTGGATGAAAATACTCCGTTCTGATTGGTGCATTTCTGAAAATGGATAGTAATGTACCAATCAAAACAAAGTATTTCTATCCAGTAAGCAGTCCAGGGTAGCGGTCATGAATTTTTTCCCCTAGTGTGAACTCGTAAAAAGTGAAAATTTTGTAATGAACTCGTGAAAGATAAAAACCTTCACTAAACTCGTGAAAAATGAAAGATTTAACGTAAATTTGTAAGTAAAACAAATATTACAATATACTCAAGACAACACCAATTTGCAATGGACATCTTTAGAATTTTTTCAGCATGTTTTTAAGACATAGTGATGTCTTTAGAACGTCCCTTGGAAGTCTGCTTGTCTGGGATTACTTTAGGATAAATTATTAAAAGATAAAATATTCTATTCATATTAAAATTATAAATTTGCAGAAAATATATATTTAATATATATAAAATATAAAATATATATTTAATATATATAAAATAATACATACAATACATGCAATAAATACATAAAATAAACTTACATTTTACTTACTGCATACAATTTATAATATATTACACTTTAACTTTCTGATGCATACGTATCTTAACTTTGCATGCTTCGTCGGTATGCTTTCAATGCTTATATGTCATCACGCTTCAATTGGCTCTCGTTATTCATTTTTAATGGACGTAGGATTCTTATGTCAAATGCCAATTGTCGTATAACCATAAAAATTAAAGTCACTATAAGAAATTCTACTCACTTTGTACATAATATGCGAATGTAGTATTACATTATTTTTCATATTTAAACCACATCGCTTGATGCTTAAAAATTTTCATGGAAACTTACACAATTTACATGTAAAGAAGAACATATACGAGCAATTTGTATGTACTTGACCGGAAAAAAAACTCCGGTTGGAAAACTATTCTTTTAAATCGTTTGTATTTTGTATAAAGAATTTTGAAGTGCAATTGAAAAGATTTGTGAGTCATTCTATTACTTGTAATTAATTGTTCTTTTTTAGACTATGTATTTAACCGGAAATAATGAGGTAAATTAAACAAAGGTTCAGTATGGTATCGTTTGTATTTCGTATGAAGAGTTATGAAGTATTATTAAAAAGGTTTGAAGAGAGAGAGAGGTGAATCATCCAGATAATTTTAATTAAATATTAAAAAATCATGTATTTAGCCGAAATATCGATCTCAAGCGCTGCTGTGGAAGTACCGTCAGGCACGATCGGTGTACTGTCTAGTATTTCAATACTCATGGTTCATTTTCGGGTAATTATGTATAATAAGGCCTTTTCCGAATTTTGATATTTTTTTGCAGCTCTTTTGGTAAAAATATTTATTTTGACTCCAATATTGATAATCAATCGGGGGAGTCCGAAAAATATACAAGTTATATATTGTTAACTTTTTTTTTTTTTTTTTTTATTTGTCGAACGTTGCTGCTTTCCCACAATTTAAACAAGTTACTGATCTTTTAAGCCAGCGGCACACGGTGCTTGTTTTCATGCTGAATTGCTTGCTGATTGGTGCATTTCTGAAGATGGATACAAATACACCAATCAAAACAGAGTATTTCCATCCAACAAGCAATCCAGCACGAAAACAAGCACCGTATGCCGCTGGCTTTAATCACATTATGTAACTGCAATAGGTTTGTTCGAGTTGCTTGTACTATTCATACTTTTACACCTAATGCTCGTTTCACACTAGTGCACCTCATACAATACAAATTTCCCAAAATTCTGAAGACGCTTTTAGGACGGAGGGATGTCATCAGAATATGTTTAGGACGTCCTTTGAAGATGTGAGCTGTCTGAAAATAGCTAATATCCAATAAGTTTATTGGCATTAATTGAACTTTTTACACTTTCACACTTAGTGCACATTAATTTTTTAGAGGTTCTAAAAATGACGTCATGAGTTTTGTTCGTGTTACGAGTGTAATTGCAATTTTGATACATTTTTTACACTTGATCACAAGCAAGAGTGAAAAGTATATCAGAATTGCATTTACACTCGTAACACCAACGGAAAACATGACGACATTTTTAGAACTTCTAATGGCTCCTGCACACAGGACGCGATAATGCTTGCCGCGCGGCGAAAGTTCGCGCGACAGCCAATCAATATGCTGCTTTCCGTAATAACCTTCTAGCTCTTACGGAAAAACAGCATATTGATTGGCTGTTGCGCGAACTCCGCCGCGCGGCAAGCATTACCGCGTCCTGTGTGCAGGAGCCATAAAGAATTAATGTGCATAAGTATGATAGTGTAAAAAATTCAATAATTGTGAATAAACTTATTGGATATTAACTATTTTCAGACAATTCACTTTTTCAAAGGACATCCTAAGAATATTCTGACGTCCCTCCGTCCTGAAAACGTCTTCAGAATGTATTTTTGAAAATTTATGTTGTTTGGAGTGCACTAATATGCAACGGGCATTAGGTGTAAAAGTGTGAAAAGTAGAAGCCACTCGACAAACCTAATATCGAACGACTAGCGGGGGGCGGGTGTATATCAGTTGGACACGGGACAATTGGACACAGTCCAATCACAAGTCGCTGTGCCAAGGGACCCTACAAATGTCTCTAATCACACGGTGCTGTGATTGGCTGTGTCCAAGTGCACCGCTCCCGCGGGGGGCTGCGTCCCCCGCACTCCCCTCAAAACTAAACTAACCCAATCTATCGTCATATTAACCGTCATTGTTTATTAGTGTTCAACTTTTTTTCTTAATAATTTTTTAATAAACAATGACTAACGGCTAATGTGACGATAGGTTGGGTTAGGTTAGTTTTGAGTAGGAGTGCGAGGGGTGCAGCCTCTCGCTAGTCGTTCGATATTGCAGTTACATAATGTGATTAAAAGATCAATAACTTGTTTAAATTGTGGGAAAGCAGCAACGTTCAACAAATGAAAAAAAAATAAAAAAAAAAGTTAAAACAATATATAACTTGCATATTTTTCGGACTCCCCCGATTGATTATCAATATTGGAGTCAAAATAAATATTTTTACCAAAAGAGTTGCAAAAAGATATCAATACTCGAAAAAGGCCTTATTGTACATAATTACCCGAAAAAGAACCAGGAATATTGAAATGCTAGATAGTACACCGATCGTGCCTGACGGTACTTCCACAGCAGCGCTTGAAATCGATATTTCGGCCAAATATATGATTTTTTAATATTTAATTAAAATTATCTGGATGACTCACAAACCTTTTTAATGATATTTCATAACTCTTCATACGAAATACAAACGATACCATACCAAACCTTTGTTTAATTTACCTCCGGTCATTATTTCCGACTAAATACATAATCCAAAAAAGAACAATTAATTACAAGTAATAGAATGACTCACAAATCTTTTCAATTGCACTTCAAAACTCTTCATACGAAATATAAACGATTTAAAAGAATAGTTTTCCAACCGGAGTTTTTTTTTCCGGTCAAGTACATACAAATGGAATCGTAGCCAAATCCTGAATTGCGTTTGGAGATTTCATGCGGCGAAAGCGCGAAGCATTGCCATCTGTGTATAGGTGTACATACATCCATACATACGCCCTACACAAGTGCATTGTCGCGCGAACGCATGACGGGAAAGTTGGGTCGAGCTGACAGCACTAAAGTGCATCTCAACTCCACTTTCCTGGTATTT